TTTATATACATTGTAAAAAGTACATATTCCTATGCTCCCAGGCAAGGGACTAAAAATAATCTAGGCTTCTCTACAACTATTATCCACAGAAGTGACAAGGAAAGGGGAAGACAGAAGATCTTCCTACATCCATACCTCCACATCTCGTTAGGTACCTACACATCCAAGCAAGGGATAAGTGCCAAATGGAATAACATGATATAGAAACAGGCACTGTATATATACAGATTTCAAAAGAATATATCCTGCCTCAGTCCCTTCCCAGCCCCCGCCGCCAAAAAAAATTCTAAAAGCCCAAACTACTTTAAAATTATTGACTACATGGATAAAAAGGGAAAGGAGAGAAGACTGCTCTGTATCCAGACTCTGTGGTTCATTAGCAACCTACCAGTCCAAGTGAAGGAGAGTGAGTGAGTGAAAGTCACCCAGTCGGGTCCGGCTCTTTGCGACCCTATGGACTGTAGCCCGCCAGGCTTCTCTGTCCATGGAATTCTCCAGGCCAGATGACTGGAGTGGGGAGCCATTCCACACTCCAGGGGATCTTAACTCAGGGATCAAACCCGGGTCTCCTACATTGCAGGCAGATTCTTTACCAGCTGGGCCATCAGGGAAGCCCCCGGGTGGAGAGCTGGGTACCAAATGAAATACTATAAGGAAGCAAAAACATGAGTATATGTATTTAAAAGCATTTACCCTAATACCCACAAAAGAGCCCCTGAAACTAATCAACTACTCTACTAGCCATTGCCCTCTCGGGCAACACGGGAAGGGGTCAAGAGGAGATTGTCATACATGTGGACCTCCACGTCTCATTAGGTACTTTCACGTCCTATGAGAAGGACATAGTATGAAATGATTAGTTATAATACAAAGTTACAGATTTACTTATATACATTAAGTACATACCCCACTGTCTCCCAACTCACAAAACAAAAACTACTCTAGCTACTGCCCAAAAAGGCAGTAAGGAAAAGGGAAGAGGAGATCTGTCATACTCTGAAGCTCCCTTTTCATTAAGTACATATGCATTCAAGCAAAGGAACACACCTAAAATAAGATACTAAAAAGTGGCATAATATTTATATACACTTGAAAAAAAGAATGTACATCCCTCCCCCATCCCTGCCCTCAAGAACAGACTAGATCAAAACAACAGAAACTACAAGCACTCGGGTATGTCCATACAGGCAATAAGGAGAGGGCAGATAAGACATTTGTCATACTTTGGGACCTTCACGGTTCATTAGATCTCTACTTATCCATGAGGAGGATGAAGGAAAGCCCAAACTACTTTAAAATTCAAACACCCATAAAATAGTGGCAAACACATTTAGACACATTTTAAAAAGAACATACTCTGCTCTTCTCTCACTATGACCATCTCCCTCCAAAGAAGGAAATCAAGTAACTACTCTGTAGCTATTGCCCAGGCAGGAAAAATTGAAAGGCTAAGAGAGATTTTCACAGGAGAATGTCTCTTTCACTTTTCATCAGGATAAACTATACTAAGATGAAAGAATATAAAAACATCGAAACACATGCATACATTTAAAAAGTAAATACCCCCAAAGAATCGCTCAAAGAAATCAATCAACTACTCTGAGCTATTGCCCACATAGGCAACAAGGGAAGGGGAGAAGAGGAGGTTTATCATACTTTCGGACTTCCACTTTTCATCTGGTACTTAGTTGCCAATGAAGAGAATGAAGCACAAAAGAAAAGAAAGCAAAACCCAGCAAAAGTGAACACATAGGCTTTTAAAAATACAAATGGGGATGTAAGGGAGGAAGAAAAGAGTTAATTCCAATTAAAAAAAAAAAAAGGCAAAGGGGAGAACTACATCATACCTATGAAATTCAGGTCTTGTTTTGCAAACTCAGCCCAGAAATTGCTGTCTGCACATCTCCTGAGATGCATACACCTTCCCTGCACCCCCATGACATACACGAGGATTATGTAAATATTCAACAACCTGACTACAGATTATCGTTCCATGTGCATTAGATCAACTAGATGCTCAGAAGCTAACTCAGGACCAGGCTCTGTAATCCAGCAAACTCAGCACTTAACTTTCATTTCTTCCTTTCCAGTGTTCAGAAAGGATTCTGTCCTGCACCCAGAAAGACTGATGTGGCTCAGTATATACCCAGAACTCTTCTGACAGCTCTGTCCCCACAGTGGCTAAAGTACACGTGAAAACATGAATGGTGAAGAACATTAGTGTTAAGTGGAACCTGCGACAGTAAGAAAGCTCGTGAACAGCAAAACAGTGGCAAACAACACAATTTCGCTTAAAGATGGAGCAAAGCACAAGCTTATGGTAGCTGCTGACTCTACTTCAGTTTACTGTATCTAATCAGTTGGTATTAGCAAGCAACTAGATATCAACAAACTGAACTCCTTGCGTTTCTAGTTTCGTAGCCTTTCAGATTTCCAAAGCCTAAGCTTTTCTTCTACAGTTCCAGATTTCCAATGTTGTCTTTCCTAATAATATAGTATGATGTGTCTTTTTATTAGTTCAAGTCGACTCTCTCTCTGCAATGAATGTAACACTTGTCAGACAGTACTGAATTGTGTCATGGTGTGTGCTCATATAACAAAGAGCTGCTGTGCTTCTATCTGAGTTCTCACAAATACAGTGGTGAAATAAAATTCTGGGGGGAAAAACTTCAAAAGCTCCAACAATACTTATCATACCACATGGTCTACCCATCATTTAACCTTATATTCCCGACTTAAGAGTTGGTTTTTGGAAGCCCTGTATAGATGGGATAGCATAACATTAAAAAAAAGTATGGAATCTCACAGGAAAATCTGAGGTGAGGCCTATAAATGAAAAATACAGTTGGTATGGATCTGGTATTATGGGAATGAATGGCTTTTGAGTACAAAGATAGAAATGGATTTTGAGTTACCTCCTTTTTAGCCCATGTTTTGATAAAGTTTTAATTATAACAACCTCCACCCCGCTCCTGACACACACACTCCCAGGAAAGAATGATATAATTCAAGACAAGATTTGCCATATGCAGAGCTAACAAATATTATAGAAACAATGTGAAGATGGGCAGGCGAAATGGAAGAATCTTAAATGATTTTGAGAAGTAGCAAAGTTTAAACTCTGTATCAAAGTGGACTTTAGTAATGGTTAAAAAAAAACAACAACCCAGCAACAAAAAATCCTCCAAAATTTTAGTATTTTTCCCCACTCTAAAAATATAAAAACACACTTTCAAATATCGACTAAATTATCATTCATTTACTGAAGCACAAGAGGAATAAAGACCTACAATCACCCTAGTTTCAAAAAAAACATCTTCAGATGATTCTGTGATTCTCAGATAACAGTATTTTCTACTCTAAAATACAGAGATAAGTGCTGTTTAGAAAACTCTAAATTGGGAGAAAACATACTAGGGCTAAAGAAGGTTATCTTTAGTTTCTATTGCCGGTCTTTGCAATTTTGCTATATAAAAATATTTTCATAAAATAAAATATAATTTTATACATAATTCCTATATTCTCACTTGATACCTGCTAAATAAAAAAAAGGTGACCTTTCCCATTGTCTGATTCAGTGGAGTGTTTTAAGTGCTGAAAAATGGGTAAATACCCTTTTTATGTACGTAGGTGTTTTCAAGCAAAATAGAAAGTACAATAAATACTAGGGAGAAAGCTTTTCTCTTAAGAATCAAAGAAACACAACAATCTAGGTATAAGTCTGCATAGCTCAAAAAATTCAAGTACAGTATTTCCCCTTTAGAAGGAGTAAAATTGCCATATAGTTTTGGATACTTTCTTTCTTTCCTTGGCCATTCCCTATAATCTGTTAGTTTGGCCATTACAAAAGAAAACTTTGATTTTTCAACTAAAGAAAAGTACTGTTTCTGACAGTAGAAAAAATTCAAAGCCCACCATATTAAACCTAAATCAAGTTATTCCTATCCACATTCTCTTTATTCCTTTAAGGTACTATGGTGAACTTCAAATAAAAATGTTCAATTTCTCAAAGGCCCTATTTTAAAATATATTTCTAATATGCAACTCTATCATATAAAATGAAAAACCACTCAATGGGTATGATTAAGAGAAAGTGTCTGTGATCTATCATGCCAAAAAGCAACTTAAACAAACTGTAAACTGTAATTCTTAGTAATAAAGTCATGATAAGAGACACCAGTATTAAAAAAAATGCCATAAATGCAGAAATACTTATTTATAACATAAGGGATATCTATGGCAGGGAGTGATAAAGGTGTACAGAGATTTGGAGAACACTGGAATTCCTAAGTAAAATATTAACGCTAACTCGGTTTGAAATATTTTCCTGAAAGATGAAAAAGAAGGTGTTAAATATTTGGAAAATTAAATCTTTTGGCCTTGTTATTTAGCTTTACAACAAAAATTTAAAAATTCTGTAGCACCTGACTATTCTTCAGAAAAAAATATAATAGTTAGAAACTTTTTCCAGAAAAGAAAGGATTATTCAAACCCCCCAAAGTAGATCCGCACACCTGAGGTCAGTTCTCTATAGCTGCATGATTCAATGACTTTATTACTGTACTTTTTGATGCTAACTTGGAACCATTCAAATATCTATCAACAAGAAGCAACAAATGGCTAACCAACCCGCAGCCTGCAAAGATGGTGGCTCCCATTCCTTATTTCACGGTGTCAACATTTAGCCAGAAACTGAGAACAGAATTGCAAAACAGATTTTTTCCCCCCATTTGAATATCTTCAAAGTAGAAAAATTACCCATTGTTTTTGTAGATGGTTGGCATACAGGTGAATATAATTTGGTAATAAATAACTACACACTGCCCAAAGACATTTCAGAAAAGACAGATGAAAAAATACAGACTGGCCCTGAGCAAACTAGAACTCCTAAGAGTGCAAATAACTCAGCAGCGATCCTGGTTTCACCTTGGCTTTTGCAAAAGCAGCAAAGGCCCAGTTAACAAGCTCTCTGAACGGGTGACGAGGTACAGGTGTGCACGCTACAGCCAATATGTCAGGGTTTTAAGATTCTTCTCCACCCACTGCATGTTCAGCTCAATGACTTCCAATGCCTCCTGGACACAGCGAAGTCGAAAGGTGGCCTCTGACTGATTTTCAAAGAATGCCTGGACCTGTAAGTTGCACACAGAAGTATTTCAAAAGAAGAAAAGAATGGTATACCGCAGCTTTGAATATCCTTTTCAAATAAACTTTAACTCAGTGATGGTCATGCTGATGTGAAGCTGTTTTAAAAAGGAATTCCCCTTACTCCCACAAGGATGAATTTTTCAAATTTCAAGTTGGGGGGTGGGGAGGGTGGAAAGGCCAAGTAACAGTAAATAAGGTAGAGTCTAAAGTTAGGCCTGGGGTCTAATTCTACCCTCTGAATGGAACTCTTCAAAAAGAGTCTAATCGCCAATTAAAAATAAACTTGGCATATGTTGATCTTAATTCAAAAAATCATCTGTATCAGATGGGAGACAATGGAATACTGTGGAGGACAGAAGCAGAACTTTTCCTCCTTGCTGTATATCCACCCTTTAGAAATAATCCCAGCGCAGGATCATTAGCGCTGATGCAGGCAGACAGACAGAAGGGACGGGGCTTGGCAGGGGAAACCACCATCTGACTTATACTGAGCACCCTGAGGGCGAAGGGATGGCCTGGTCTCCCCAACAGCATTTGATGCAACCAACCTCAGATAAATGTGCCTTTGTTGAAAACTGGTGAGTTGATCCAGCAACGATACTTTGTATGGTATAGGACCCCAGATGGAACCTGAAGAAACACAAACGTAAGGGCAAAAGGCAAAAAGGAATGAGTCAGCTGCTGGTAAGCCAAGTTCCTGAGTGCAAAGGACATGCTTATTGTAAACTCCACATGCCCGAGGCAGAGTGGAGTCCTGCTCCTGGGAACTGGGGGGCTTGGTGCATCAGGAGTCACCACACACACCTCTCCCAGTAGGTAGGAGAGCCAAAGAAATTAACAGTCCATGTTTGCCTCAAAAACAGCATCATACACCCAGAAGGTGTCATTACTGATTTAAAAGGGAAAAATGAGCGACTTGTGCTGTTGAGCTGGGTCTGAGTTTGTAAACGATCGCTTGGTAATGAAGAGGTGTTTGCAACACATGAAACTAAACAGCCATTCCGAAATAGTCCGTGGCCAAGCCAAGTGAGCTGGCTTCCCCGGTGGCTCAGACGGCAAAGCATCTGCCTGCAATGCAGGAGACCCAGGTTCGATCCCTGGGTTGGGAAGATTCCCCTGGAGAAGGAAATGGCAGCCCACTCCAGTATTCTTGCCTGGAAAATCCCATGGACTGAGGAGCCTGGTAGGCTACAGTCCATGGGGTTGCAAAGAGTCGGACACGACTGAGCGACTTCACTCACTTAAGCTAAGTGAGCTCTTGCGGAGCAAGGTTGGGCTTGATTAGTTCGATTACTTAAAACACCTTTGTTAAATTGACTCCCATTACGGAATGTTGTTTACAAATGTGACTATTTCCGTGTTCGTTAAACTCTCACGGAAGCATTTTTCCTTTCACAGCAAAGCGTGACTCTTCTGAACTAATACAACCCTGGGGACTGCTTTCAGATGCAAGGCTTGCGAGTACTGAAAATTAGTAATTCTCTGAGCAACTCACTTCTGCACAAGCTTACTCCAGTGCTCTTTGACAAAATCCCAGGCCAGCAAGTGTCCAGGAAAACGCCGGGCCACCGTCCTAATGATGAACGACAGCTTCTGTGTTCGGATGAGATCTCCATCGAGGCTCTTTTTCATCAACCTGGAGAGCAGAGCAGATTGAGCTTCCAAAATAATTATTCATGATGAAGTGATGACTGAATTTAAAATAATACCGGTCTCCTAATTAAAGCTCTGTGGCAATTCAAGAGATATAACTTTTGGTTCCGTCTAAGCTTCATTAACAGTGAAAACTTGTCATGTTTCTACGTGAAGGAAAAACCAATGAGATAAACACATTAATATACTGTTACATAGTAATAAATTGTTCTTGATGTAATAAGGACATTTAGGGGGGAAAAAAGGACATTTAGGATATAATCTCCAGTAGAATTTATTATAATTCTGAAAGCTGGTTCTGTTTTTTCTGTTAAAAACTTTGAGTAGGGAGGTATCTTATTACTTTTAAACTGGGCTGTCATATAAAAATGAGGATACTTTTCAGAATGCACTCAATAAATTGATACTGATATGTGTACTAGATAATGTTCTAAATTACTGAATAACAATGTTTGAAATAGGTCATTACTATCTATCCTCATTTTATAGTTTAAGAAGCTGAGGTTATATAATTACCCCAGGGACACAGCTATTGCTAATAAATATAAAAGTTAGGCATTTGAACATAAGCACTTGCTATGTGATAATATCTGCTTATATGAGAACACACATACCCCTAAAAGAATGCAGCAATATTTTTAACAGGAAAAAACCCCAACTGCTCATCAAGACATGATGGGTTGAATAAACTATGATAGAGCCATATTACAGAATAATACACAGCTATTAAAAAAAAAATGGAGTAGGCTTTGCGGCAAATCTCAAAGACTGATCATTCACTAAACGAATGTCACAAAACACTGGGCACAGAATAAAGCAGTAAGTTCATAGTCCAGGACTGATGTGTTAACAGAGGAGAGGATAAGAACAGAAGCGAAGGCTCAAACGAGATCGTTTTGTGTTACTCCATCTCTTAGTGAGTGAGTGAAGTCGCTCAGTCGTGTCCGACTCTCTGCGACCCCGTGGACTGTAGCCCACCAGGCTCCTCAGTCCATGGGATTCTCCAGGCAAGAATACTGGAGTGGGTTGCCATTTCCTTGTCCAGGGGATCTTCCCCACCTAGGGATCAAACCCAGGTCTCCCGCATTGCAGGTAGACACTTTAACCTCTGAGCCACCGGGGAAGCCCCACTCCACTTCTTAGGTACTGTGTGAAGCTTTTAGAGTGGAAATTTATCAGCATATTCCTGGTCTAAAACAAAATTATTACTGGTTTAAAAACAGTAAATCTTTTCTCTGTTTGCTTGGGTCAGAGCCTGGCTACTACTTTCAAGAAAATGACCATTTACAGTGCATCCTTTGGAAACTGGGTCTGGGCAGCTGCTGAAGACATCGCGGGGACACTATCATGATTTATCTGAGCAAAACTGTACAAGAGAAGCAACAAGACCCCAGCACCTCCCTCCACCCCTTTCCGGGCACTGACTTTCAAGACTCTTCCAGTGCGACTCAGAGCGCCTTTCCCCTGTTCTTCCTGTCAGGACACCTTCTCACTGCCCTTCTTTCCTCACACGAGCCTTCCATTCCCAGGTCTTCCTCAGCCGAGTAATTAAAAAGTCTGGCAGGTTCACCTGATGGTGTAACCTGTAAGCTTTTGCATAGTACCTTTTCCTGAAGTGTCTGCATTTTCAAAGAGATGGCTGGGACAGAACCGTGCCTTTGCCCAGAAAGAATGAAGTGCCAAGTGTGGAATTAAAGACAATGTGCCAAGGGGAGGAAGACATATTTAAGAAGAAAGCAGGGCTGTGACTCTTGGCATCTCCAGTTCCTTCTGGGCATAGCACTGTCGCCTGTGGGGACAGGTCTGGTCCCTGAGATGAACGCCTGCACGTGGGGTCTCCTCACCCCACTGCTCAGGTCAGGCCTGGCCTGGGAGCAAAAGGAGAAGGGGGACTCCCTGCCTCGAGGGTCTCTGTGCTCTGACGCTTTTGGTTTCCATAGATCATACTCCTTTGGTGGCTTCATACCAGTAAAGCTTCCGTACATTCTCTGAGCTGGCAAGAGCTTCGAGTATTTTATTCTTCTCTGCTTCAGAGCCTAGAGAGACGTATTTGCTTAAGAGGAATGACCAGCCGCTCTCAGTTTTTGCTCCAACCTTGAACACGGTCGTCATGACGTCCGTAGGCAGGCTGTAACAGAGGTGGTCCGATATGAGAACAACCAGAAAAAAACACTGAATACAAAGGCAAGGAACTGATCAGGGGCAGTGCTTTGGGGACTGAGCAGGTAATAAGAAAGAGTCTTCACTGTATAATTAATTGTCAGGAAAATGATTAATCCAGTGGCTGCTCCTTTCCTAGTGATGCAACTAAAAAGCATATTAATTCAATACAGTAATCATTTACTGTCACCCACAAAGAACCAGGCAGGCAACTGGCTGGACGCTGTGAGCAGGGAAAAAGAATAAGACAGTCATGAGCTGGGAGGCTCATGAGCTATCATCAAGTACAGAACGATAAATACAGACATCGTAACAGCGTGATATGGCCCACGGTAGAAATCTATCAGCAAATGTAGCAGAAGGGGCGAGAACAGGGGTAGAAGCACAGTTTTCTGTCTTAATTAAGATCTCAGAGCTGGAGAGGGCTTCAACAGGTTACCCCAATATCCTACACCCCAAGTCTCCACCTGGTGTTTGAATCTTTTCCCATATACCCAGTAAGAAACCTAGTGAAAACCAATCATCATAAAAACATTTCTACTAACTGCTAATGCCACCTGCTATGTTTTATTCCTAGATTAAGAGAGACCTGTTTGATGCCTCAAGCTATTAGGAGGGTGGCTATCCAAAGCTCAGAGAATAAGTGTTGTCAAGGAGGTGGAGAAACTGGAACTCTTGTACGCTGCTGGTAGGAATGGAAAACAGTGAAGCCCCTTTGGAAAACATTATGGGTATTCTTATAAAATTAGATATAGAACTACCACATGACCCAGCAATACCACTTCTGGGTATATATATGAAAGAAATGAAGCAGGTCTCAAAGAGGTATCTGTACACCTATGTTCATAGCAGCATTATCCACAGGAGCCAGAAGGTGGAAGCAACCTAAATGTCTATCAGTGGATGAAGAGATAAAACAAAATGTGGTATATACATCCAGTGGGTTACTCAGCCTTAAAAAGAAAGGATATTCTGACATATGCTACAACATGGATGAATCTTGAGGACATTATTAGGTTGTCTATGACCAGCCTAGATAACATTAAAAAGCAGAGACATTACTTTGCCAACAAAGGTCCGTCTAGTCAAAGCTATGGTTTTTCCAGTAGTCATGTATGGATGTGAGAGTTGGACTATAAAGAAAGCTGAATGCCAAAGAATTGGTGCTTTTGAACTGTGGTGTTGGAGAAGACTCTTGAGAGTCCCTTGGACTGCAAGGAGATCCAACCAGTCCATCCTAAAGGAGATCAGTCCTGGGTGTTCATTGGAAGGACTGATGTTGAAGCTGAAACTCCAATACTTTCGCCACCTGATGTGAAGAACTGACTCCCTGGAAAAGGCCCTGATGCAAGGAGATTGAAGGCAGGAGGAGAGGGAGATGATAGAGGATGAGATGGTTGGATGGCATCACTGACTTGATGGACATGAGTTTGAGCAACTTCCAGGAGTTGGTGATGGACAGGGAAGCCTGGCGTGCTGCAGTCCATGGGATTGCAAAGAGTCGGACACGACTGAGTGACTGAACTGAAAGCCAGGCACAAAAAGACACTTCCTGTATGATTTCACTTATATGAGGTACTTAGAGCAGTAAAACTCCTACAACAGTAGAATGGTGGCTGCCAAGGGCTTGGGTGAGGAGAAAATGGGGAGCAGTTGTCTTGTTCAGTTTTGCAAGGTGGAAAAGTTCTGGAGATTCGTTGTACAACCATGTGAATATACTTGCGCTACTGAACTGCACACTTAAAAATTGTTATGACACTAAAGTCTATATGGATTTGATCACAATTGAAACAACAGTCTGGTTTGAGAGTCAGTTACCTAGAGTCCACCTACATTAATGCTCGGCTTTATAACCTTTATGGTTCAGGACATAAAGATCCCGGTTTCACCGCATGCTGTGGGGCCCACAGGAGCAAGAGCACACATCACCTCTGAGTGCCATTGGACGTCACCCAGTCATTGAAGAGCTTCAAGGCAGCAGCGCTGCAGCTCTCCAGGCTGTGGGCGCAAGCGAAGTCCAGCAAGACCGACCGCAGCTCTCGAGTGGACGGGGTGCCCTCGTCAGTCCAAGTCTGCTGCTGGATCTGGCTTTGAAGCAACTTAAATACCTTGTTCTAGAGAGACAGAAAGGATCATGACAGAGTCATAACAATGCGGGCAACCCGGAAAATCAGGACAACATCTCTTTTTTTTCCCTGCATTCACCCAAAAAGGAAAAAAAAAACAGGAGACACAGATATTACTCACTTAAATAACAACTGACATATGAAGCTCACAAGTGGTTGGGATGAAACCATTCAATATCACTAAGGCTATAGATAAGGTTGCTCCGGCCAAGGTGGACTTAATGACATAGGACAGAAAGAATTAATGACTTTGTGCAGTAGGGAACATTTCTTCTGTGTATACTCAGCTAGAAGCTGCTTTCCTGCCAAGAAGTATCATCTATAACCACTGCTGGAAGAAAGCTGAAACTTCCTGACCTGGTGACTTTAGCATCCATAAATCCACTAAGCAATGAGAGAAAAATACACTTCTTTCTGAATGCGTAGGTGGTTAAATGTTTCTGAATCCATTATTAAAGGAATATTTAAAGTATCATCTAGCTTGATGCTATAACAAATTAATCTAATCAAATTAAGAAAATGAGGCCTGCAGGGAAGAACAGTTGTTTGTAAGTTATTTTTCCTCCTTCCCCAACTTTTTATTTAAAAATTTTCAAGTCTACAGAAAAGCCACAAGAATAGTAAAATGAATAGCCGTATGTCAGATTCACTGTTTTGTTAACACTCTTACATTTGTGTATAACACAAATATACACACACTTGGTTTTTCTGGGTTTAGTTCAACCATATGAAAGCAAGTTACAGATATCATGAGATTCCATTTATAAATAATTTAACATGCAATTCTCAGAAATAAGGACATTCTCTTATGTAACCATAATACCTTATCACACTTAAGAAAATTACCGGTTATTCAGTAAAATCATCTATAATTAAAGTCCATTGTTATAATTACTTTTGAGTGAGATCTCATTCTTAAGTATGTATTTATGGTATTAAGGCTTCCCTGGTGGCTCAGTGGTAAAGAAACCACCTGCCAATGCAGAGACATGGATTCTACCCCTGGGTTGGGAAGATCCCCTGGAGAAGGAAATGGCAACCCTCTCCAGGATTCTTGCCTGGAAAATCCCATGGACGGAGGAGCCTGGTGGGCTACAGTCCATGGGGTCGAAAAAAAGTTAGACATGACAGCTACTAAAACAACAACAACAACAATGGTTTTAAGAAACCAACAGATCTCTTATTTCTTTTTCATCTCTTCCCACAACAAAGGCATGAAAGCTGTTCATAATATATGGAACTATTTCCATACTCCAAGCTGTGGTGGAGGGGAGGAAAAGAGGACACAGGGAACTTTAAAAATCATCATGTAAAATATGCACTTGTGAATTCACTGAAAGGAACCAAAATTCTAATAAAAAAATGCTTATAGGGATTTTTTATATACCTTTCATGGCAACAAATGAGGAGGATCAAAATGAAAGCAGTTTACAGACATCCCCTCCTGCAGTGTTCTCGGCACAAGAGGGTTTTCTGTCACTGGTCCTGGAACTCGACCACGACCAGTCTTACTTCAAGCACCACAGATGTACAAAGCTTCTTAAACGCCCTCCAAATTAGTTCAAATTCTTTACAGAGCATAATATTCTTCTAGAGAGCCTCTGTCGATACTTAAAATGAAGCCTAGTCGGAGAGTTTTAAACTGCTGAGGCCGCTTTCTCAGCAGACCTTTCTCTGAGGTCTTTTGTGGAGCTGACTATGAGAATGGGGGAGAAAGCATCTGTATAAGAAGGATGCGAAGTTTGTGATAACAGGGCAATTCCCTTCTGCCTGCCTGCCTCAAAGGCAATGAAACAGAACAGACGCCTTGTGGGACGTGTGCAGGCTTGCAGTCCCCAGGAGGGTGTGAAGTGGTGGGAAAAACCACTTGCCACGCTGACGGTGCAGGGAAGCTAACTTGTGCAGGCGCCCCTGCGGGGTACCCGTGCCTGCACCGGCACACGCTGTCTTACGCTGGCCTGACCTTCTCAGTGGCATCATGATGGCACTATGACAAATGAAAGAGTGACAAGCTACTCATAACTGTCACACAGAAACAAAGGAAGAATGAGAGACGAAAAAGAAACCTCCCATACTTGCAAAACTATTAACAGCCACAACAACAAAACAGTGGAGAAAAATGGCAACCACCCTTGAGAGTTTATACTAAAATGAAGAAAGCAGTGGGGGAAAAGGCACTTCAAAACACTGGAAGCGGGGGAAACCTCAAGCGATGCTGTAGCCAATCCCTGGGCGTTTACTCCTTTGTAGTTATGGGGTGTAACTTTCTTACTTACGGCCCATACCCAAGAGTCAAGGGGAAGTCCCCAAATTGCTGATTTTTAAATATATTTCAGGGCAATTCACTGGTGGTCTACCACCTGGACTCAACACTTTCACTGCCAAACCCCAGATCTGAGCCCCGATTGGGGAAGTAAGGTCTGACAAGCTATGCAGTGCAGCCAAAAAAAAAAAAAAAAAAATCAAATGATAACATAAAAGACTTTATTTAAAAAAATAATAGTTCTGTTTTCAGGAAATTTCAATTATAAAATATTTTTGTAAGTAATCAAGGTTATATTTTTAATGTTAATAGACCACAGCAAGTGCTGCAAATTATCTTTCCCTTTTATAAGTAAAATTCAACCTGTTTTTCTATTGTTCTACATTAATTTTTTGAAATCAAAACTCATTAAGCATCAGAATTCAATCCTCTGATTTCATAAAGTGAAGATGGTAGGGAGAGGGAATAAATTGATGAGTCATACAATGTACATACATGCAGTAAAATGCAACAACAATGACACAAAATGACTTTAAAAATAAAACAGGGCAAGATGCTGGCACTTATGTTATTTATTACATTTTGATTTACTGCTTTAATTTTACACTGATGTTCCCAGGGAGTTCTTTCTTGGGTTAGCTGAGCTTCTTAAAAGTGAACTGTCAACTTTTATTACAAAAGGTTTATCCCACCAATTCCTCATATGTAAAAGGATGACAGAGTTATAAGTGATGAAACAGGAATATGGCTGAGATCAGATTTTAGCATCAGATGTGAACAATTTGACACAATTCAAATATGCTTCCAGACTCTACCCATCACATATCAGAGCAGACATCACAAAATGTGATATATAGGTAATATGTGTTATACGGGTCTGTGTAGCCTACATAACAAAATGATCAATAAATGCACACAATGCTCTCATGACACTAACTTAAAAAATTAATTAGACATCAGTCTTAATCACAAACACTACTTGATGATTGGATCCGAGGTCTCAGAAGGTTCTGCCATCCCAATCTCATCTACAGTGGGTCACATTTCATATTTTGAGAATTTTGATCCTACTCGAATGCCCTAAGATCAGAACAAGAATTTTAAAGAGAGAGTTTCTCTTCCTGAATTAAAGCCATCATGACTTTTAACTTTTAACTGTCATAACTTTAAACTCATCACAACTTTTAACTGTCATGCCAGTCAAGTGCATGAAGATGTACAATGGTAAAGGTCTCATAAACACACACGAAGCCTCCTGTTCGGATTCTCTAACCACCAGTCCCATGGACTGGTATGTTCTGCCATGTCCTGAATAAACACATACCTCTCCGGCAAACTGGAAATCATCATCTGAGATGAAGATGCAGAGTTAGCTGAGTGTCACAGCAGGAAGCTATTCAAAAGATCTAACTGCTGGAACTGAGTTCTGCATCTGTGCTTTCAGCATAGGAACAGCCTGAATTAAGTACCAAATGCCCCCTGACACCAGGCCCCCCAACACATTGATGGAGAGAGGTAGGCAGAAGAGTGACTTTTGCCATCATGACGTTTACCAAGCCTTCACACTGTTTTAATTTAAAATATCACTGTAAAAGAGGGGAAAATATAGCAAGAAACAGCTTTGATTCTTCCAATAAAAGGGTATCCTCTGGTAGATGACAAGCTAGAACACATTAAAATACGGCCTTATAACACAAAGAGGAGGGTCTGGCGTGAAGGCAATCTGGGTCTGAGTCTTCAGCTTCATCTTTCACGAGGTAAGTGACTTTGGAGAAATTATTCAGTCTCCTCATCTGTGTTAATGAGGGCAGAAATATCTATCTGCTGCTGCGTGAGGGTTAAACGAGGTTATCTGCATTAAGCAGTGAGCAGGGTGTGCAGGGTACAGTGAGCACTGAAATGTACTTGTTCCACTCACTCATTCATCCCCCATTTACTGGGGGTCACTGTGGCCCAGGTCACACTCCAGGGGCTGGTTTCTATTAAGGTTGGTAGTTGAAAGCCTTATGAAACAGAAGAATGATAAAAATCTTGGTAATCAGAAGACACCTCAGAAATCATCTAACTGCAGCGTCTCACTTATGGGTAGGGAGCGGGGGTGGCTGCTTGCAGGCCGGATCAGAAACTTGAAAGGAAGGGGCTTTTCAAACTGTATGGCCCCTGGCCCTGAATTCCCTCCCTGTCACTGAGGATCACAAGGGATGCACAGTAGGACAGCAGAAAAGAGGATTTTTTTTCTTTTTAAGGTGCAATCCAGCCCCTTCCTTTTCCCATTGAGGATGCCAAAATTCTCAAAGACTTATTCTAATTCCTGGCCCATCAACTTCTTTTTCCTGAAAGCTGCCTTTTGCCTGGTCTTTGGAAAAGCTGACTAGTTGGTAAAGCCAACCTTGTTGTCTGAATGTGATTCAGAGAATTAGATAAGACAAAGAATTTGTCACTCCTTCTCAAGCTTCTAAATACACGGTCAAAATCTAATACCAAGTGTCTAAAATAACAACTGGTAAGACCAGGCAATTGGTTTTAAAAAAGGTAAAACAGTCTCCAAAACCGGTAGTGCTTTGCAAAGAAACTCATATTAACTAACCAGTGTCACCATCCTTAATAAGATAGTTATCAGTGAGGACCCCCAAAACCGAATAGTCCCAGTACAAACATAGTTGTCATTTTATACTGACCACCAGGAAATTAATGGGGAGCCCTACTTTGCAAAAGGACCTATTCCAAGCATTTATTATAGGAAAATAAACCAAGAGTTGAATAGAGAAATTTTTCATGTGACCTCATTTTGACAGCAGTGTCAGAAGTCTATATACTTGGATATTCAGACATGAATACATCATGCTAACCCTTTATCAATTCCTCATGGTAAGAAATGACATGTTGATTCAAAGTTAAGATTTCAGCACCAGGAAAGTGATGAAAATGGAATATAACTGCTTTTTCAGTCTATGACTGCTGAACGGAACATGAATAACAACAGTAAAGGCATGCAACACAGAGAACTTGGCAAAAAGGCAGACTTACCACCAATCTTGAGGCCAGATCCATGTGCCCGAGTTTGTCAAGGAGGTTATAGATGAGTTCTGTCTGGAACAGGGCTTCAGAGATGGGTGCAGTGTAGGTCTCATTTCTAAGATAATCAATCAGATCGAAAGCTCTCTGAAGAGACACCTTGCCTAGGCTAATGGGTAAAAGAACAAAAAAGTAAATATGCCAGAAAAGTAAATATGCCAAAAAAGTATGCACGCTGAGAGAGAAACTATGGCTAGATGGGGGAGTGGGGATCCTGAAGACCTAAAATTTACGCTTTGAGTGGTAGGTATTCTATGGCTCCATAGTCTTTAGTGAAGTGAAGTCAAAGTTGCTAGTCATGTCTGATTCTTTGCAACCCCATGGACTGTAGTCTGCCAGGCTCCTCTGTCCATGGAATTATCCAGGCAAGAATATTGGAGTGGGTAGCTGTTCCCTTCTCCAGGGGATCTTTCCAGCCCAGGGATCAAACCCAGGTCTCCCACATTGCAGGCAGATTCTTTAACCATCTGAGCCACCAGGAAAGCCCAATATTATGTGAAGTTAGACTAAATACCTTTGATTAAGTTTGCGTGTGTGACCCAAGGTTAAAGACACCTTTCAGGAGAAAGATGAACAACAGCTCAGTTCTTTGTTCTATAAGTCACCTGTAAATCGCTACTGATTCAGGAAAAGTATCATAACATTTTAGATGAGAAATGATGAAGCGTGCCAATTTTACTTATCATTAGTTACTTATATTGATCAGGTGGCAGAAAGAGGATCTGAATCAGAAAGTAATTTGTTATTTGTATGGGAATTTTGTCAAACTTGTTAGGGCGAGGGCCACTGTGAATTTATGGTGAACACCTTTTAAAAATTACCCACTTGACAGAAATCACAAGATCGATGGCTGAGATGGTGTGAAGTCACCACGTGACAGGAAGGTCAAGAGCAGTCAGAAGGGACACATTTGGGTGTTCCTTGGGCTTCCCTGTGGCTCAGAGGGTAAAGCGTCTGCCCACAATGCGGGAGACCCGGGTTCGATACTTGGGTCGGGAAGATCCCCTGGAGAAGGAAATGGCAACCCACTCCAGTATTCTTGCCTGGAGAATCCCATGGACAGAGGAGCCTGGTGGGCTACAGTCCACGGGGTCGCAAAGAGTCAGACACAACCAACCGAGTGACTTCCCTTTCTTTCTTTCTTTTCTTTGCGTGTCTAGACCCACGGACGACCTAAGTCGGTGATCTTCCTCTGCAGGGGACATTGGCACATGAGCTCACTGCCATTCTGGGCTTTGGGCTTGTGTAGCTTGGGGGGCAGCTGGGGAGGTGGGTGGTACACCAGTTCTCAAGACGTGCCTCATACGAGCCTTATATGAGCACTAAGATTTACACTGAAAGCACAGGCTTCTTGAAAAGAATTCTCTCGTGAAGTAAAGCAAACCCTGAACTTCTGTATCCATTTATTCAGCAAATTTATGCGTTGTGCTTGTCAGTATCTACAGTCTTGAAACATGATTTAAATCTTATAACTGTTCAATATGCTTGTGCTGATGCTTCTAGATAGACAACGGATGTGTGCTCTGTCTTCTCAGTTCTCCAAAGTGAATTATACCTACCAGGCAATACATGCTGCCTCTTTTCAATTGCTTTTCTTAAATGTCCTTTTCCTCGAGAACACTTATTTAAAAAAAAAAAAAAGAAACAAAATTAGACCCAAGCCAAGCATACTCTACCCTGCAAGTTCAAAGATGTTGTTGATGAGGCTGGCTCGATCTTTGTCGCTCAGCACATAAGGATTTATTTTCAGCTGTTTGATCAGTGCTTCCCAGTTGTCATCTGCGTAATGGACAATGTAATAGCCAGTCATGTTTGTATTGACCTTGATCCACTGCACTTCTTCTGTGAGATTGATGACACCTAATACAGACCAAAAAATGAGAGAGAGAGGGGATAGGGAAAGAAAAGTATTAAGTGATTACTCTGTTTCAAAGTGAGTATGCTGTTATTTTTATATTTAAAAATATTATATTATTATTTTATATATTATTAATATTATAGTAATATAATAAATAATATTTAATGCAATATTAAGTATTATAATAAATATATAAATAACATTATATATTATTATTTTATATTTAAAAATATATTATTTCTACTGAGAAACTAAATGTCCACCCCCCAGGGCAGTCATGTTCATGTTAACAAAGATCACCACCCATTCACTTAACAAGTCTTTACTTAATGGTAAACAAGGCAACATGTGCCTGCCCTCCTGGATCTTACAATCCAACGTAACCAGGTGAGCAGGGTGTCAGACTAATGTTGTCGATGGAAACAGAAAACATAGCATTCTGTAGAAGAACAGGGTAGAATGCTTCACCCCCGAGAGAAGGTCAGGAAGAGATTTCTTGGAAGAAATGACATGGCCGTTGAGACTTCAGGATATATAGGTATTGCGAGCCAGGTAAAGAGGGACTGCTAAGTGTTCAAGGCCCAGAGAGGAGTGCGTGGTACCCATGCACTGAACTGGCCCCCAAGCTCACGCTGGGAGTGTGTGCAGGCTGCGGCACAGGGGGAGACAGTAAGGAAACTGTTTAGTATATAAAGTGTGTTCCCTCTCGGCCTTTTGTCTTTGCTTATGTTAACAAAGGAAGGACACAAGAAGCTGTTTTAAAAAGTCACATAATTCAAAGACAGCAAAATAAACATTAGGGAAGGGTGGATGTCTCATGAGGCACAAATAAGAACTAATTGAGTTAAAATAATAGAAAGCTGATAATGTACTTTCTGGACCCCTACCGTTACATTTTAATGCCGACAGAATTGTTAGAAATTTATATGGAATGATTTCAATTAATACACAATTAATAAGAAGCTAAAAAAATGCAACCTTAAAAATATTACAACAAAAGTTGACTGCAACCTTTAAAATTACTAACCAGGAAACATCCTTTAAAGTTGGCAATGAGGATGTGAATTTAAACCAACAGTTAGGGGTATGCTTCTAAGCATCTTAAGGTTTAATATTTATTAGACTACAAACCCCACGGGCATTACTTTGTTCACTCCTAATCTCTCAGTACCGAGAACAATTTTCCTAGCAGGTACTCAGGAGATACCTTGGTGCATTAATGAATGAATGAGCAAAATGATTATGTCACGGTACGTGGTTTCAAACAAATCTAAATAAGGTTTGCAGCTGTTATGATGTAAGTTTTCTTCCCCACTTTAAAGTGGGGAATACAGTTTTTTAAATTAAAAGAGAAAAGGGGAGTAGAAATAAGAAAAATCATCTAAACTCAAACAATAAAAGCATCATGGGTATATTTCCTACCAAGATTTTTCTTATACACATTTTAACTGGATTAGTATTTAATATACTGGATCTATGTACACTATTTTATACATTATATTATGCTGCTTTTTCACATATCCGATTCCATTTCCTGCCATTTTCCCACTGCCTTCATATGCAGGATTCAAAATCTTAAGGATATTTTATTTTGGGACATACCACAGTTTAACCCATCTTCTATTTGGAAATATTCAGGCGGTTTTAAAATTTTTACTATCATAATAATTATATATGAGGGTTTTTACACATAAAATGCTTTGGAAACACCTTTAAACCTTTTAGTACTTGAAATCTAGGGTGGATCAACTTCAAAAACATGAATTATTTCAATTTATCAGATTTTCTTAACACCTTAGTTACTCTAATTCTGAGACTGTCAAAGATTTTTAAGATGTAAAGACTTATGTTCTGATCATGTCTTAACATGACATATCAGATAATCAGTCTTTTTCATTAAAAAATTCATACTAATTTGTTTTATTGTTGATATAGCAACAGATGGAATAGATTAATCACATTAATCGGATTTATTCCTTTTCTAAAGCAGAATACAGTTCTAAGGAATATTCACGTTGGTAACAGTAGCTGCTCCAAGTGGATATATTTTTAACAAACCTATGACTAATGAAATTAACTTTAACAGTAGCTAATGCAAAAATATCAACACTCTCTAGGTCACCAAACAATTTCCTACAGGGCTTTTATCAAGAAAGGACCTTGGGAAAAAGAACCGAAGAGCTTCAAATCTCCCTTTCCCAAAACAGGAGGCGAGGAATGATAAGCATGGCAATTTTCCCATTGGAAGGAAATAGGAAAATATTGAAATACAGAGTCTCTTGGATGATAAGCAACTTGCTATCTTGTAAACCTAGCCAGGTCCAGATGGCAGAGAGGAGGAACACAGCTGTGACTGTACTTGAAATTATTACTGTCATTTTGATGACAGAATATGAGGCAGTGCAGCCAACAGCATAGAGAGGAGAGTTATCATTTAAAGAATCAATGTATTAGTCTCTTTCAGGTCTTCTGAATGATTCACAATAGAGGACCTTAAAACCACAGGTATCAAAAAAAAAAAAAAAAAAAACCAGAAGAGCTTTGCACACTAGGGAGGTAACTACATCTTGCAGTGGATGAAGCTACTCTCGTATGTTTTTAATTTATCATAATCATTAACAGATTAACAGTTCAATTTTCACAGTCCATTGAGTAGTAAAAAAAGAGTAACTCTGATGTTAAATGGCAGAAGCCCAGATTAAGTTATCTAATAGTGATTTAAAAAGAAAAAACACTTGTCAATGAGTTATGAAAATCAACTACTGTTTTATAAAGAAACATTAAAGCACAGAAACAAAAAAAAAATATGTTTTTACTACAAAGCTGCAAAATTTCCTGTATGGCTTGCTCCAGAGGGGTAGCATGATACACACAGTTGAACTACATCTCCTCCTGTTCAAAAGCATTCCTTTTTCTCCAATACCCCTTTCTTCCCCTTTATTTTATTAGGGGAAAAAGGCAAGAGCAGAGAATCACACATGATAAATATCCTGTCCTAACTATACAACCTTCCTCCTTTTTTCCAATTGTCTTTCATTTCAGTGCCATGTCCTTTAGTTTCAGAAAAATGTTTATGGCACAGTGATATCCTTTTAGAAACATGAATGCTCCAAGTTAGATTTAATATAAAAATTTCCTCTAGTCAAAGAGATTAGGTTCAGAAATAAAATGGAAGAAAGGGAGAGGTAAGGGTGGGGGAGAGGAAGGAAGAGAAGGAACAAGGAGACACTTTGGTGTAATTTCCTCAATAGGTGGTTTAGAAAAAGTCCTGTTTAGCCCCTTCTTATGCACAAAAACTATTAACCATTCAAAATCCATGTACATGGGAGAAAAGTGACCAAAATATTGACCACATATAACGTCTATATTTTACTGAACTAAGGGACTAACCCAGAAACCCTGGCATTAGAACTCATGAAAATAGACTACGGATTTAACAAACCACCAAGTTAACACATTGTACTAATGTCACAACGGCATAAAATAAGCTTCTGATGTCATCATCTGTGCTACATTTCTTTTGAGAAAAGAGAAGACTAAAATTCAGTGAAACCAAAATTGGTTCTTCACAGGACCGTCAGGAACCAAGAAGACTCAACTGTTGTCAGGGTCAAACACCATTTGTGAGGACAGACATTTGCAGTGTGGACTTTTCAAAACCTGAACTGCGAGGAATTAAAACTGCACAGCAGTAAGGTAAATAACATGGCTGAGAAGAGGAAGTAGCAGACACTGCTTTCGTCATATATTGCCTCAGTTCCACCTCTAGATTAAACCAGTCACATTATAGTGCATGTCATAAATTCCCCTTTACTAAGAATATGAATTCCCCTTTACTAAGAAAATGAAGAGAAACAGAAGTTGCCATTTCACCAAGCTTTGAATGCTGTGTTCCTAGAGCTTTTTACAGTGACATTTGAAATTGAGTCACTCCATTATAAACTAAAATGTATTTATTCAATAAGTTTTTATGTGCCTACAGGGTGCCAGGGCTGCAAAAGTGACTTGTGGAGCTAAGATCTCCACGTTCAGTGCGGGGATGCATCTGCTGTGGGGACAGATACAAGTAAGTGGTTCAGTTGTAAAGAATCCGCCTGCCAATGCACGAGACTAGTTCCATCCCTGAGTCAGGAAGATCCCCTGAAGAAGGAAATGGCAACCCATTCCAGTATTCTTGCCTCGGAAATCCCATGGACAGAAGAGCCTGGCGGGCTATAGTCCCTGGGGTCGAGAAAGAGTCAGACATGACTTAGGGACTAAACAGCCACAGTATATTAAAAGTATATTAAAACATATAAGGGAGGCATCTAACCTGTCTTGGGATGAGGGAAGCTCCTTAGAACAAGCAATAGATGATCTGAGATTGGAAGAGTGAATAGGAATAAAACCAGGGAGTCAAGAGACAAGAGTGTTCTTCCAGGACAGAAAACAGCATGTGCAAAGGCCCAGAGACAAGAGGCAGCACGCATTCTTGAGCTGCTGAAACAGTTTTTGTGCAGTGGAAGAAGAGAGTGCTTAGAAAGAAAAGGTTACAGCAGGAAAATATGGGCATGACTTTGGGGTGTGAGTCTCAGAAAGAGTTTAAAAAGTTGACATATGAACTGAGCCAAAAAAGTAAAAGGCTAATAAAAGCAGATTTCTTGTTGTCCAGTCATTTCTGATACCACCAAAAACATATATACTATTGAGAGGCTTGCAAAATTTCTGTATTGGTCCCTTTCAAAAATACAAGATGGGATAATTTGTTCTCTCTTAGGTCAGAGACCCCTTGCAAGGCCCACTGAAAGTATGAGGTTTTGCTTATAATCAAAGAAGGCAGGAATTTCTTGCACCTCCAGCTATGCTGTGTTAATCGAAGATATGATGACATAATCAATTGTACTTAATGTTTTAAGTAATTACTGTAACATTCCAGTTAGACCGAAATGCAACTGGTATGCTCATATAGTTCAATTGGCCTTATAAGTTATTACCACACAAAAGAAGGGCAACTTGGAAATATGAATTAAACCACAAAATGTAACACAGTCATCATTTTTGAGAAGCATTCTTATGAAAAAGTTCATATAATGGGAAAGCACTTAAAAACTCAGATTTCATTGACGCATTTTTTAAATAGATACAAATGGTAAATCAAGTGTCCAGCAGTAATTCAAGATTAAGTCAATTAGTGAAAATTAAGATATTAATACAAAAATCACATGTGCACAGCATCAACCTAAGTAAAAAACCATTTTTAAAAAATTACTAGAAAGAAATAGTCATCAGAGTAGTTACAAGGGAGTCATAAAATTTGTTTTCCATCTTCTGGATTTTACGTAATGTGGATATGTTATGCTTTAGAATTATTTTTTTCATTAGTAACATTAATAATGATAACTAACACTTCTATAGTACATAACATGTGCCAGGCATTATTCTAGGTGCTTCATATAAATGAACTAAATCCTAACATGAACTAAATCATAACACTATAACTTTAGTACAATTAATCTCTCCATTCTATAGCTTAGGGAAAGAGACTCAGAGAGGTCATATAACTCACCTAAAATCGTATGACTGAATCAAGCAATCTGGCTCCAAAGTCATATCGTCACTAAGCTATACTTCCCTTTCAACGATAGAGGGCTGAACACCAGATCCAAATTCAAACAAGAAATTTTCCCTTTCCATGAATCTCAAGTATTACTAATGAGTCCTGCAGAACGCAAGAGCCTCATGTTTTCAGGATGTAAATTAAGACGCTACATGCGGTGGCACTTGGTGGTATTTAACAGATGGTGGTAAGAAACTACATTTCAATTTCTTTTTATAGACCCCTTATGAGTCTGCATATACAATCTGTACATTTTATTATCACCCTCCACAGTCATACTTTCTAGTCCTATTTTCTCATTATAAAAAAAAATGTATACTATGTCTACAGGACATCTTGTAGTAACTATTTACTACAACTCTGCATCATGAACCAACCTTTGTCATACCTAAGAATCATCTAGGGTGCTTATAAAAAAGTAGTGGGCCCAGCCCAACCCAGAGAAAATGGACAGCAGAGTATCCTTTGGAAATTCATCTTCTACTTGTTACTTTGTAACATAAAAACGGTTATCTCGGATACAAAAACACAGCACTTGCTATTTTCTACCCCAACTGCTAGCCTATTCAGTGGTTTTTCATACCTTATTTCGCATGATTAAGAAAGACCAGTTTTATGTATGATATTGCATACAGAATCAATCTCACTTTAGTCATACTTTCTGTAGGTGTCTCAGAGGACCAGCTCACAAAGCTGTGCACATTGGGAAAGTGTCATCTCCTTTCTGCTGCCTGGTTAGCTTTTTAGAAAATATGCTGTTTCTAATTTTTTATCAGGAAAGTGTTAGAAGGGTCAAACCTGATTTCTTGTCCAGTAATGATACTGATCGATGCTTGGAGTAATTTCTTCCATCAGTGATGTAGGATAGTGGAATATGCCACAGAGAACTGTAATAAAAAGAAAACACTGGAAAATTATTAACTCTTTCCAATAGTTCAGTCAGTTACACATACTTTGTTGAGTGGTTTCTTTTTTGGCAGGAAGGTAACATATTTCAAGTTATTCCCAGAAAGGTATAATCTTGTTAGGCTTTCTAAGAACTTATGATTACAAAACATCTGAAAACACTGTGACCTGAGGGTGCAAAAGAGATATGTTGTTGTTGTTTAATCACTAGGTTGTGTCTGACTGTGCCCCGACGGACGGCAGCACACCAGGCCTCCCTGTCCTTCACTGTCTCCTGGAGTTTGCTCACGTCCATTGAGTTAGTGGTGGTATCTAACCATCTCATCCTCTGTCGTCCTCTTCTCCTTTTGCTTTTAATCTTTCCCAGCATCAGGGTCTTTTCCAATGAGTTGGCTCTTTGCATTAGATGGCCAAAGTATTGGAGCTTCAGTTTCAGTATTAGTCTTTCCAATGAATATTCAGGACTGATTTCCCTGAGGATGGACTGGTTTGATCTCCTTGCTATCCACAGGACTCTCAAGAGTCTTTTCCAACATTACAGTTCAAAAGCATCAATTTTTTGGTACTCAGGCTTCTTTATAGTCCAACTCTCACATCTGTACATGACTACTGGAAAAACCAAAGCTTTGAGTATATAGATCTTGGTCAACAAAGTAAATGTCTTTGCTTTTTAATATGCTATCTAGCATTGTCATAGCTTTACCTCCAAGGAGTAAGTTGTTTTTTTTTCTAAATTTCATGGCTGCAGTCACCATCCACAGTGATTTTGGAGCCCAAGAAAATAAAATCTGTGACTGTTTCCACGTTTTCCCCATCTATTTGCCATGAAGTGATGGGAGCAGATGCCATGATCTTAATTTTTTGAATGTTGAGTTTTAAGCCAACTTTTTCACTCTCCTCTTAAACCTCCATCAAGAGGCTCTTTAGTTCTTCTCCACTATCTGTCATTAGAATGGTGTCATCTGCATATATAAAGTTGTTGATATTTCCCCCACTAATCTTGATTCCAGCTTGGGATTCATTTAGCCTGGCATTTCAGGCAACGTAACCTTCATATAAGTTAAATAAACAAGGTGACAATATACAGCCTTGTTGTACTCCTTTCCCAGTTTTGAACCAAGCAGTTTTTCCATGTGAGGTTCTAACTGTTCTTCTTGACCTGTACGCAGGTTTCTCAGGAGACAGGAAAGGTGGTCTGGTATTCCCTTCTCTTAAGAATTTTCAGTCTGTTGTGATCCACACAGTCAAAGGCTTTCATGTAGTCAGTGAAGCAGAAGTAGATGTTTTTCTGGAATTCCCTTTCCTTCTCTATGATCCAACGAATACTGGCGATTTGATCCCTGGTTCTTCTGCGTTTCCTAAATGCAGCTTGTGCATCTGGAAGTTCTCGGTTTGTGTACTGCTGAAGCCTGGCTTGAGGGATTTTGAGCATCACCTTACTAGCATGTGAAATGAATGCAGCTGCACAGTAGTTTACACATTCTTTGGCACTGCCCTTTTTTGGGATTAAAGAGATAGCAGGAGAGACAGTGGGTTCTCACCTTGCATCTGAAGGCTGAATTTCAGGCTTAACATTTAAAGAGAATCTTTCCTGTTGTACAAGAATTTGCTTTCCTTTTCTCTGAACAGTCACTAAAGGAAATCCTTTCTGCAGGGTCCAGGTTTTCATCATTTTCTTTACATCTAGTGTTTTGTTTGTGACCTACAGAAAGAAGAATAGATTATTTTTCTCAGAGATAAAGAGTCTAATTATAGTATCTTTCCCTCTTTCTCTATCACGATGCACCAATGCTGAGTTGAGTTTACATTTCTACTCTAGATAAATGAGCAATTGCTAAAAAGAAAGTAACCTGGACTAGAAATGAGAGAAAACTAAAGCGAGTGAGAGGCAGCACATGTTGAAAAAGGCAGCACAGATGCTGTAAACTGACTATGGGTACATTAAAATCCCTCAGAAGGTACAAGCCCCCCTTTAGGTCACAAAGCTACTGTTTAGAAGGTTTGACTAAGGACACACAGGCGAGAAATCAGAAACACTGCTACTCATTGCTGTTAGCCAGCTAGGTCCAGAGTTCTCTTTACTCCCCAGACCCTCTGCTTTTACAAAACGGTGTGAAGGTGAGAGTCGCTTAGTCCTGTCTGACTCTGCAACCCATGGATTTCTCCGGGAAGTCAGTCCATGGAATTCTCCAGGCTAGAATCCTGGAGTGGGTAGCCTTTCCCTTCTCCAGGAGAATCTTCCCAACCCAGGGATCGAACCCAGGTATCCAGCATTGCAGGTGGATTCTTTACCAGCTGAGCCACAAGGGAAGCCCTTTACAAATGGTAAAGCTCATCTTTTTAAGAGCTCATCCTGTGGGAGGGCCTAAGAGCAGCAGCCGCTACAGAGGAGTGAAATATAAACAGGTTGGCTGCCTGGACCTTAGGTCTCTCCAGAAAACAGTGGTGAATGCCCAGAAAACAGTGGTGAATGCTCTTCCTAGACACATAGCCCTTTACCCTCACAATACATGGATTGATCTATAAAATCTAGAATCAGTGTCAAAGGTTCACAGGCTCTCTAAAGCTTACTGTCCCTAAGACATCTGGTATCAATGATTAAGAAGCAATTTTTGAAGCAGGTGAGTTAACTTTATGATTCAGATTATTTTTCTAGATTACATATGGATCTGAATTGCAAGCAAACTCAAATCATCAAGTACTTAAAATGGTATGATCATTTGGTGATATCACGCCACTATGACTGGCCTTACCTCAGTCGATGTACACCTACTTATTTAAAGCCAGAAAGGATGGAGCAAATCTTCTTAAATGCATTGTGATACTAATCTTACATGTTCAATGGCTCTGATCTATTTCTTTCGGGACAAGGGGTTGGGAAGAAAACAAAACTGCCCCAAAGCAAGGCACTTCTGGGTCTTTGAAACAGAATTGAAATGAAGAGCCCAGTGCATAATTTGATGTTGGTGCTGAAACATGTGAGGATAATATTAGGGGCTAGGTCAGGATAGGAAAGCACCATGATGCAAAAGCTGAAGTTAGTGAGGAAGGCAGAAATACATTCTAACTGGCAGGAGATAATACATTGAGTACAGAGTAAATAATGTGGCTTTCAGTTGAAATGCTACTACATGATAAGAAGAAAAACAATGATTTATAAGCAGCTCTTAGGTGATAAGGACTGATCCTTCTTCTCAAAGAGAACTGAGAGAGTAGGGAAGATACATCTTCTGGGAAAAGGGTTAACAACTAGAAGGTATCAAGTTTCAGATAAGGCAAGGAAGCAGACAGAGTGTACGGAAACGCTTCAGAGCAGGGGTTCTTCACCCAGAAACCATAAAACTTTGAAACTGTGTGTGACACTTTGCCTCTCTGTGGATTTTGGGGGGAATATGTCCATAACTTTCATCAAATGTTCAGATATGTTTGTGATCCTCCAAAGCATGAAAAACCATTGATCTAGATGAGGGGAATAAACTCAAAGGCTTATAAAGGCTACGCATCAGCATGTGTGCGTGTGATGCAAGCTGGCTTCAGGCACTGTTACGAAGCATAACTTGTAACTAATGACACTGCTTGTTAGAATCTGGAGGCACAAGCAAATCCAAGCAGCAAAAGGATCCGAGGGCACAACTCAGCTATGGTCGCCAGACTGTGAGATGTCATCTACAGCACTTTAGTGGCGTATGGCCAGCAAAGACAGGAGGAGTCACAGGGCAAAGTGTAGAGCAAACATTCATGAATGGAAGGTAGAAAAACGGCAAAAACATCAGAGAGGAGAGCTTTCCTACAAGGTAGGAAGAGATTAAGATCCAAACTAAACATGCTTACACAAGGCCTCACGCAATTTTTGGGGGGGCAATTAAGCCCAGTACTTCCATTTCATGACTTTTAATTCTGTGCTCTTATTCATAAACATTTATATACTAAGTTCTATTCCTTTTTCTCTTAAAAACTGTCCTTGGTACCATGGCTTATTTACATACCTGACAAAAATATTAAATACAAGAACCCCTCTCTTCTTACTTCAAGAGCTAAATAAAATATCCAGGTCACTTACCTCGTTAAAACTATCCCACAGGTCATCACTGTGAATGGATGTATAGCTATGATTATGCAGATAAAGAATAATGGCATGTTGAAATATATCTTCACTAAGGTAAGTTTTCAGCATCAACAACAGGGAAGCTCCCTATTCCAAAAAAAAAAAAGGGAAAAAGGGAAGAAAATAATAGAATACAATAGGTTTACAGAAATAAGAACCTAAAATTCAAAATACAATCATTCTAAGCAAATACTTTAATAACCCAGTTATAATTCGCTGTTATCTTGTTTCAAGTAACCAGTTGTGGACTATGGTCAAATTGTCTTAAAAATTATTTTAAAGAATTTTAGAAAGAATTAATTCTTTAAAAATTATTTTAAAGAAGTTGAAAAATAAAAATGCCTATGTGCACTAATTCTTCTGTGGGCCACTCTGTGTAGTCTATCAATTACTCAATGTTTCAGTGTTAATGTTAAAAAGTTAAGGGCTTACACATATATTTTTAACTTTAAAAACTGCTGAATTTTCTGTGGCATCCCCACCCCTACCTCCTGGGCTTGAAGTCCCAGCTGACTTCATGGGCACATTGCTGGAGACAATAAAGGAGCTGAACTCTCAAATGTCTCTTTGCTAGAGAGTACATTAATTTCCAGTTTCAAGGTGTCATGTTTTTGAAGTAACCAAGATCTCTCTTCTTGCAGAGTCACTTCAAATATGTTCAGAACATATGAATGTGTATATACATAGTAAGCACACACTAATAATTTATTATCAGACGTGGAACTATTAAGGCCACGCTATATTATAATGCATGTCACCATCCCCAATTTTAAAACAGCAACCGCCTCCTCCACATTCAAAAGCAATTTATATCACACTTCCTGCACCTGCTATAGAGATGTATTTATTTCCTCTTCTAGACTGTAAGCTAATTTAGGGGAAAACTGAAGCTAGGAGCTCAACTCCTATGACTAAAATAATGCCTACTACATAGAAGGCACTCAAATGCAAAAAAATGCTGAATGAATGAATTTCTGATAAAAAATGCAGCAATGTTAAGTCATCAAGATTACAAGATACATATAACTGAACTTAATACCTCTTACTTTCTTATTTCTGTATCACACTTCAGTGGTATTTGTTCCATAAATAGTCATTCTTGTTCCCAATAGTCCTCCTCTCTAGTGTAACACTGCAACACTCCATTAGGAAAAACAAAAAAACACCCAGCAGTTCTCATTTCAAACAAAAGATGTGCTTCCTTTCCTTAACCTCACACCTCCTCCAGTTATCACCGTATTTCTTGTTCCTCCTTTGGGAAGTCAGTTCTTCAAAAGAGCTGTCTGCATTTGCCATGTTCATTTGCTCTTTTTCCATTTTCTCTTGAGCCATCTTCCAACCATCATCATTCCACTGGAAGTGGTTTTATGAAGGCCACTGGTGAACCTTACAGTGTCAAACCAATGTCACTTCTCGGGCTCACCCAACGAGCAGCATTTGATATGACTGATCACGCACTCCTCCGTGACAGTCATCTGCTCTTGGCTTTGGCATGTCACTCCCGATTCCTCCCCTGTGTGCTGGGCATCCCTCTCTGTCTCTTCTGCTGCACCTTCCTTATCTTCTCAGGACTCTTTTTGTGTCCCTGGCATTTAATCTTCAGACTTCTTTTCTTCTCTAAAGTCACTTCCTTGTTGATCTTCTCAACCACAGGGGTTTTACATGACCCCCAAATTATATATCTAACCAGATTTTGCTTCAATTTCAGGCTCATATCCAATTACACGCCTACTATCTCCACTTATGCACCTTTAACTTACTCAAAAATTGATCTTTTTTTCCCCTTTCTTGTCCTAAATATACTCTTCCAATAATCTTCTCATTTCAACAAATAAAAACTCCATTTTTCCAGCTGTTCAGGCAAAAATTTTGAAGTCATCCTCGACTCCTCTCTTAACTTGACATCTAATCCATTAGCAAATTCTACTGGACTAAACTTCACAATATACTTCAAAACCAAACATGGCTTATCACATTCACTACTACCACCTTTGTCCATGCCACCATTTCCTTGCTACTGGTCTATTACAACAACCTCCTAACAAGTCACCTTGATTCCACGTGATGTTGAAGGCTGACTTATTCCAAAAATAAATAAATAAATCATACTAGTACTCCTCTCTTCCGATGGCTTTCATTCCACTGTGCATAAAATCAAGGTCCTTACCAAATCTAATAAGATGATCTACAATGATCTGGCCCCTTATAATCCTTCTCGCTTCATCTATTACTTTCCTTTGCATTTATTCCTCTGCCGACACCTTGGCTCCTTGCTGGTGCTTAAACATGCCAACCAATCTTCATCTCAAGTCATGTGGGTCCCCAAAACAAGTCCCAGATATGGTGACACGGTAGAAGGACTCACAGAACCAGGACTGAGTATGCAATCATATTCACCACCATGATTTATTACTATGAGAGGACATGAAGCTAAATCAGCTAAGGGAAAAGTCTCATGGGGTGAACAAGTACAAGCTTCCAAAAGCCCTCTGAAGGATGTGCTTAATTCTCCAAGTGACAACTTGTGACAACACATATGAAATACTGGCTATCAGGGTAGTTCCTCGGAGACTTGGTACCCATGATTTTTACTGGGGGCTAGTCATGCAAGTATCTTCTGCCTAGCAAGGACCAAAACTCCAGACTCCCAGAAGGAAACCATAAACTGTGGGCACAGTGAGTCATTCTTATCAGGGAATGGTGAGAACTCTTCCCAAATCCAATTTGCCAGAAATTAGCCAAGGTCGAGCCTCACAATAATGCCTTTCTAAGGATAGCAGTCTCAGGCCTACTACTCTAACTGATGTCTGCACACAAGCCCTGTGCACTGGTTACACCCTCTGCCTGGAACACTGAATATGGTATTCAAATATCACCTTATCAGTGGTCTTCCCCAGCCATTTATACAAAGCAGCCTTTCCCTGTCATTCTCATTTTCTTTACTGTGCTTCATTTTCATATTCACACTAACCACCAGTCTCTTTCAGTCATTTGTGTTACGTATGTCCCTATCGCTGACCCCTGAAATGGAAGCTCCATTACATAGTCCACCTTCTTTCCTGATCTATTCCTAGGAGACCAGGTATGTGGTTGGTACTTGTATAATTTGATAAATGACTGAATTATCACAAGGCAACATGCATCAGTATTATGCTTAAAGATTATGAAGATCAAACAGAATATGTCTGCAAACACATGACTTACTCTCAAACACTGGCACTTCTCACACACAATAATGGTAAATTATCCAGTGAACTATTTTTCTCAATTCTGTGGATGGGACATTTGCCAGATTCCCAATTCTCAAATAAGTACCTACCATACTGACAGGCATAAAGTATGTTATGGAAGCAACAAGCTCAGAAGACAGTGAATTCTAGGTTTGGAGGGTGGGGGTCAGAAAAAGAAAGAGCTCTATAACAAGAGATCCTGAAATAACTGCTCTGTGTAAGAAAAGCACTGCAAGTTGTAGCATTTTCTTTATTGGTAGGTCCACTATGGGCTTTAAAAATCACAACACATGGCAGTAGCTCTAATTGGAATGTATTTCATATAGCTAACTGAACTCCTGATGTCCTCATTTAATAACAGCAGTGCCATTCTCCCTGCCAGTCAGGCTTGAACCTAGAAAACACTTCTGCCTCCTCCTTCACCTGCTTTAACCTATCACTAAGTCCTTTAAGCATTTCCCTCCGCCTGGGGTTTTCTTCCACACCCATCAGTTTCCTCCCACTCCTTATTTTAAACTTTTACCACTTCATGCTTTGACTTCAGCAGCAATTTCCTGATTTTTGGTCTCTCTCCATTTAAACTCTATTTTGTAAACTGAAGCAAGTTAATTTTCCTAGTCACTTGAATCTCAAAGCCATTCCTCTATTTAAAAATCTCTTAAAGCTTCCCACTGATTATAGAAAAAGTCCAGATTCCTGATGGCATTCAGGACCTTCTACAACTGAGCCCCAACCTACCATTCTCATCTCTCCCTACCCCACATGTGGCTTTCACTGCAAACATTTACTCCCTAAACAAAAATTCCCTGCCCATTAGTATTACTGATTCTTTCTCCGCAAACCTCATTGTGCTGTTCTTGCCCTATTCTGTTGTTCCCATTGCTCTTTACCTATATATTCTTTCTATTATTTAGTTTCCATGTTCTTCCAAGAAATTTCTCTCCATGATCCCAGGCAAAAATACTCTGTACCATTCCCTTAGCACATATTCTTTCTTACTGCTTCAGAAGTACTCCTGACCTAAACTCTGAGTTTCTTGATGACGTGAACTGTAACGCATATGCTTTGTATATCTTCTTCTCTGTTCAGGATGGGAATTCAATTTATTGATCTTGATCTGGTAGCCAGACTAAGGAGGCAAGCAGGCTATAAAATTCATCCCTCCTTCCCTACACAAATGTGATACCCCCCTCTCCTGTTCTCTGACTACGATGATCCTAATCAGGTATTTAAATTTTTGTTTTTGCTTTACCTCCATACCTGGAGTCTATGTTTCTAATTCTACAACAGAATCTTCAATTCTTAAAAATCTCCTTTTGCTTACCTGTTTTGGCAATTCTGACTTTGGAACACACTTCAGTCCTGAATAACATAGCCAAAGGTTTAGAGCCTCCCGTGGACATATTCTACCTATAGATCTGGACAGTGATCCAACTTTAAAAGATGTATTACTATAAAGTCTGGTTAACTGGCCAGAATACTAGTTAGAGAACTTAAGAGACAGAGAAAGAAAGAAAAACCTACATCAAGTTAAGACCAAGATTTAAATAGAAGCAAACACCTTAAAGTTTAACAGGAAATTGAAAATAATACTTGTTTAATCTCTAAAATAATCTAAATCAGGCAGCTTGCTTACATATGAAATTAATTTGTAACCTATTCCAGGTACTTTTTGTGCATGGCAATACCTTAAAATAGGAAAGAAAATCAAACATTTCTTCAATCTGTTCTGAAGACTGAACAGACGATGATGATATTGGATGGGATGAATTCAAGGAATCTTTTTTCATGGTTTTAAATCGAGCATCTAAGAAATCTTCATACTACAAAAAATGAAACAGAATAAAAAAACTATAAACAGTATTAAAGACAGGCAAGTTTAGTAATTATTGATAGGAATTAGACTAATTACTGTTTAAGGTCTTTATAAAAAAAATCAACTAGTTTCAGTAAACTTTAGAAATAACCTGTTGAAGATGTAGGAACAATGTGACATTTATGCATATTCCTTAAATTAAAAAAAAAAATTACAGTCTCCACAAAAAACAGTGTTTCCTAAACAACAGCACCAGGATAAATTAAGAGTTTATTATTAAAGCAACCAAATGCTAAATCCAGATGTTCAAATGATTATTTAAAAATGGCTAGTGGATATTTATAAAATAAAATATGAAAAAAAAAAAGGGAACTGCTCCTTAAGTTGCTTTCTCATACATAATCAAGCTTTTCTATTGAGATAATATACATTTCCCTTAACTGAGGTTATTCTTAAGTAAAATATAAGTCTTAAACAGAAAGAAGTCTGAGAGTTCAACAGATGAATTCCTCTAGAATATATGCTAAAAGCTTTTAAACATTCTGGGCACCACCAAGTGGTGAAACTGTATATCTCTTTGTTTAATTAAGAACCATACCCAGATTTACATTACTTTGCTTATTAATATTCTAGCTTAAACCGAGTTCATTTTACCATTTGAAATCACTGAACAGGCCCTACACAAAAATTTCAAACTGAAAGCTCTGAGAGTACTGGTCTTTTGAAGCAATTTTGTATCATACAATCAAGAAGCTTAATAGAAAGTCACAGAATTCTACAGTAGAAAGGGATCCTTATACTCTTCCATTTACTGCTTGAATTATTCGGCAATACCTGTCATATACGACCTGTGCTGTGTGCTGAGTCACTCAGTTGTGTCCGACTCATTGTAACCCCGTGGACTATAGCCCGCCAGGCTCCTGTGTCCATGGGGCTTCTCCAGGCAAGAACTCTGGAGTGGGTTGACATGCCCTCCTCCCATAAATGACCTAGTATGTCCAAATCTCTCTAAGGAGAAGAAACATCTCTGGAGAGTCTAAGAACACAGTAACAACATTATCATGCGCTCTGCAACAGAATGGGGTTCCACGTCTTTGAAAGGGGCACAAAATGTGGTTTGGACCTAAAAAGAGCAAATCATTTGTCTGTATCAACTTGTGTATCACTGTTGTAAGAATGATCACAGTGATAATAGACAGCATTGCCACAAAATGTCTTAATTTCTTCTCTATAAGTAGGATAAAAAGTTTTGCTTTGCAAAAACAAAAAAGCTTTTCAACTCTATTTAAATTCTTTAAAGCATAAGGGCCACATCTATTAAACATACAATTTAGCAAAGTAATTTAAAATGTTCATCTTAATGACAAAGTATAAAGTAGTTTCACATAATTTTTGCTTTCTGAAATACATCCGTAACTAAAAGCACAATTTTCACTGTCAAATCTCAAGAGGTATAGAGATCAGTAACATGGGTCAGTTTTATTGTATTTTTCTAGAAATATTTTCATTGCTCCAAATGCATGGAAAATACACGTTCAGTATGATTGGTTCTTCCTGGCATTCACAGTAGGCCTAACAAACAGTGTACTTACACTGGAGAGCTCTCCAAATATTTTTTCCAAAGAGAAATACTCCATGAATGTAGCAAAACCTTCATTTAGCCATACATCATTCCACCACTGCATTGTTACCAGATTACCAAACCACTGCGGGGAAAGAACAAATAACTAACCAACTTCACATTCTCAAGAATTTTCTAATAATTGAATTGTCAGATTAATCACCTATAACCAGATTACAATTACTTAAAAGTATATTTATTGTAGTTAAAACAACTATATTCAACTTTAAGTCTTACAAATAAATTGTATTTGTAATATAAATTTACTTTAAAAGTAAAACTGTATACATTGAATAAATTCACTTTTAAAGTAAAATTATAAATTTAACATTCTACCTTAAATAAAACAAACAAAGACAACTGGCTTATTTATCAGTTTAACATACATGCTGCATACTAGGAAGACAAAAACTGTCTTTAGTCACCTCATTAAAACATTTCCTAGATAAATTCCTCTACTTTCTAATATCAAGTTAGTAATATTATTTTCCATCATGTCTACAATCATCATGACAAACAAAAAATGAACATCTATATGAGGGATGTTCCTATAGTCAGAGTCTGGACTGTGTGTTTCTCCTTAGTCACCCACATTGAGTATCTACATGATTCAGAACAGAATTTAAATAATATTCCCTAAGAAATTTGGCATGCATACAAATAAATAAAATCAGAAAGACTTCTAAATGGCTTTTTTCCACAAAGTAGTAAGAAAAAGGAAAAAGAAGATGAGCCACCCCTAAAAAAATGCATCTCAAAAATCCCTGAAATAAAGCATGGTCAATAAAGTGTGCAGTTCAGTCACTGTGTCCAAGGGCTCAGCTCAAACCATCAGCAAAACGATAAGGTTATTAGGTACTGAAACAAAGCACTATGGAGAATCATAAAAGCATATTCTCAAAGATTAATATCCTAAAACCTCTTTCAGAAGAAGGTGACTTCTAAGTTGTAAAGAAGTACAAGGGAAACACTCCTGTTGTGGTGATGGCCAGCCCCAGGAATAACAGACCTAGAGCAGATCCCCTAAAAAACAGATTGTCTCCATGCCTAACTGTAAGAGAAAATAAGCACGCGCTTCATATGCCAGCCTGTCATGAAGTCCTCACGAGGGCCAGCACGCTGCAGGCTGTGATTGAGGTAGACAGTCAACTGGCCAGAGCACGTCCCATTCTTGCCTATTTCCTCCCACCGTCGTGACACCCCAGACTGTACCCCACCCTGATGAACACCACATCGAGGGCACGAGAGGGACCAGGTACTGGGGAAGAAAGATCAAGGGTCATGTACCCATAAAATTTTTCTTCCTTTTCTCTACATCATCCAGAGTACCTTCCCGCTCCCAAATTAAGCACCCAGTTTTTAGCAGGAGACAAAATGATAAACCTAGTCTTGACCACTATATTCCAAGGAGAAAAGGCGTGCAACTCAGGGAAAGCTTTCTTCCCCATCAAGTTATGAAACATGAGAGAGATAAAGGAAGTCAAAACGCTTTATAATCTGTAAAGTCCTATAACGACTGCTAGATAACATTTTTATCCAAAAATTTGTGTTAAAAAAAGCACCACTGTATTATGAAAGAAGGCAATACTCTATAAAGCTAAATTATTATTAGCATCTAAATGTATTCTAAAACTCCAGGACATGAAACAGACCACAGGTGTGAGACATAACAGTCTTGGTTGCCGATACCTGATGGGCCAGCTCGTGAGCGATGATTTTAGTAACCAGCTTTCTATCTGCCACTGAAGAAGTATTATCATCATACAGAAGTGTCTCTTCTCGGAAGGTGAGCAAACCCCAGTTTTCCATTGCTCCTGCTTCAAAGTCAGGGATAGCCACCAAGTCTGGATATAACAGGAAAGAAGTGGTTAACTTTCCCCCATCTAAGGCACTCCCTAGTTAAATCCAAGTATTTTACCCACTGGTCTCTCAGTAGGTTCACTGTATCAGTAAGTTCATTTTACATACTCCTAGGGAAAGGAAACTTTCTAGCCCATATGCTCCTTACCAGCTGTCAGCTGAGAAGCCCTGATCAATCCCCTATGGAGTCCCTGTTGCTCTGTCCCTTAGCAAGAGAAGGGAGATCTAATTCCTTCACAGTGAAGAACTTCCCAGAACAAGGAGGACAGAAGGCAGGGCCAACGCTCTTCCATCTAAAATCAGCACCCTGTTGAATGACACTGAAATACTCTTGCTTTCCTGAGCTCTCATTACTCCTATTATTATTTGAATTAGGAATTTCTTAGGAAATTGGAATTAGTCCAACTCCAGGTTAAGCCCTAAGCAAGTCCCCACTTACCCAGCACCTTTGAAATAGTCCCATAAACTTCTAAACGCTTTAAGCTACACATTCAGAGACATCCACAGAATCTAAATAATCTTGACAAATACAAACAATTCTTAAAGCAAACATAACAGAGTTTCTTGGTTTTCCTTTGAAATAGCTTGGGCAAAAGTTCTTTCTAAAGAAGTTTGCAACCTAAATCTAGGTTATATTGGTAATGAAATCGGAGGCACTGTTTGATTCTTACCCAATTTCTTTAGTGGGTATTGAATTTCAAAGTAGTTTTGATAAAAGTCAAGAAGCTTCACAGTCGTTTCCAAGGCATGGTGAACTTGACCAATCTTTTCTGGGACAGCATATATAGAAACCTGAAAGGGAACAGGTAGGATGTAAGGACGGGTACAATTAAAATGGCATGGTATCAAGTGAACGCTGTCAAGATTAGCAAACGTGAGAACCACAGAGAGGTATGAGAGATATTTCAGCTCAGAAATTCTTACATATAGTTCTTTTAACCCCTATAGGATTTAGGAAGTCATTTCCATACATACAACAATGTTCAAAAAAACCAGTTTACTGATTCCCTTTTTTTTTTAAAGTAACATCATATCCAAACTATTTTGTCTCATATAGCAATTATAAACATCTGCCTGTTTAGTTCCGTGATACTCTTCTCCCTATTACCTACAGTTGCCCTTCCTTGTCTGTGAATTACTTGAAGGGCAAAACTAAATTTTCATCTTTTGAGTACCTAACGTAGTGCCTGGCATCTCGCAGGCATTCAATACGGAGAAGTCACAGCTTACAAACGGCACGTTTGTTGAAGCTGCCCTGAGCCCGCCTCTGAGCGAGCAACACATCCTCCTTCAGGAAGCACGGCCCAGCCAGGTCTTCTTTCAGCCTTGGAACTGCTTGCTTTTTTCCCCACGTTGTTGGCTTGTGCCCAGCAGAGTGAAAAGCACTCAGTGAGCGGCTCACAGGAACTAACACTGCTGTATTTAAAACAGATGGCCAGCAAGGCTCTACTGCGGAGCCCAGGGAACTCTGCTCAATGAGATGCGGCAGCCTGGACGGGCGGGGAGTTTGGGGGAGCGGGGACACGTGTATACACACGTGGCTGAGTCCCTTAGCTGTCCACCTGGGGCTACCACAGCACTGTTAATGAGCTACATGCCGGTACAAGAAAAAAACTTTAATTAAAAACATAAAGGTACACACTTAAAAAAAAAAAAAACAACCAAGTAAAAGGATAATAGGATTCATGCCCATGAATACAGGGCACATGCTCCAGGGAAGATGCAACTGCCCACGTTACTTAAATTGTTATTCTTTCTTTTCTGATTAAATGTGTAAGTTACATATGTGTAAGTTACCCATTTGGTGTAACTGACTGTACCGGTCTTATCAGTGAGCATCAAAAGGCAAAATTTAAGCAATTACATGAAAAGTAATAGGTTTTAAAAAGCAATATTTACTGTTTTCAATTTATTGAAAGAAAGAAGTCCTCTGTACTCAAGTTGGTAAAGCAGAATATAGACAAGACATAGCAGTAGATAAAAACTTCAAAAATAAAGATCTTGGCAGGTGGGAAAAGGAGACCTACTGAATAACTAAGCATTTGGAAAAAATACATTGGTGAACTCTAACCACAAATTAAAATAAAGAGTAAACATAGTCTTTCATTAAACCACTGAAAAACAGTCACAATTTCTAAGAGGTCATAATTTCAGCCACAGTTGTCTTTATGTGGGGCCTTAGTCTATAGAACATATGCATTAATTATAGAAACATGGAGGTAACATGGCATAAAAATTAAAGAAAAAATTTTAAGTAAACAAACAACAAAACTAAATGTACAGGCTCTGTAGTTAGACTGCCAGGTTCCAATCTCTGCTAGTTGTGTGAACTTGAGGAGGTTCGTTAACCTCAGTCTCCTTATCTATAAAAGGGTGATAAAAGTAGCTCCCACTCCCCACATTAAATGAACTAATACATATAGAACTTAGGATAGCGGCTGACAGAAAACAAGTGTTCAATAAACAGTAGTTATTACCATTATTTAAAAGAGTCCCATCAGAAGTGGCATAAAATATGTGTGAGCAGAGCGTTTGTGGCAAAAGTTACAGGAAGGACTGAAGTGAGCTCATTTAAAATATGTTTCTTTCTTAAGACAATTAAGAAGAAATTTAATCTCACACTATGTGGCCAAGTTTGTACTTCACCAGCCTAGCACTCAAACATCTGCATCCTTGGTACAGGGCTGTGACCACAGTTGATTGAATTCAGTCACCACCTGCCAAAGGAACACACACTCCCTGCATCATTCCCCCTCTAAAGTCTTAGTGCTCGCGTGCACACACACACACACGTCTGAAATAGTCTTTTTAAATCTAACTACCATGATAAATGACTGTACCAAGACCACTTGGAATCTGAGACTAGTCTTTACTACTTCTGCCTGTTCTTTCCAGGCATACATATTTTATGGAGCCAATGCAGTCATGTAGAAGATGCTGTTCTAATAGAAACACCAGCCACATGCTCCAGATTCCTCCTCAAACATCCTTCTGCCACACACACCACTTGGCACTCCCATTTCTAAGTGGGAAAGCACCTTTCATCAGAGGAAAAGTAAAGGCAGAAAAAAGCAAGTTCACATGAAGCTGAAACCTGACCGAAGGGTCCACTAAGTCCCATTTCTGGAATACAATGACTAGGGAAAAAAGGTAATTTGGTATTTCCTCCTTCCTTCTGTTTCTCTTCCTTTAAAAAAAAAAATGTGCTATGAATCCTCACTAGAGATAAATTATCAGGTCATTATAATTATTATCATGCTTGTTCTAAGAGCAATAGAAGTAGTAGAAATAAACCAAGAGAACAATCTAGTTCAACAAAGAAGTTTTGGTAGAATGCTTGCTAGAATGCACATGTGCTAAGTCATGTCTGACTCTTTGTGACCCCATGGACTGTAGCCCACCAGGCTCCTCTGTCCACAGGACTTCCCAGGCAAGAATATTGGAGAAGCTTGCCATGGCCTATTCCAGAGGATCTTCCTGACCCAAGGATCGAACCCACATCTGCACTGGTAGGCAGATTCTTTACCATGGCGCCATCTAGGAGTCCTCCACCCTTGGGAAGACTACTCTAAATACTGATAAAGGCAAGTCAACCAGTGCTCAGGCTTTAAGACTTACATCTTCAAACTTTCTCTGCAAGATCTCTTGCTAAGAACTAGGAGATTTATAAAAGACACAAAAAATGTCCATAAAGTCTCATCAGCTCTTGGAGAAAAGGGTTAAGACTGAGGAATAACAGATTGTTAGGTTTCACTTACTCTGCTCCTTAATAAGAAGCAAAAACCAAATAAAAGTAAAACCAGAACCAAATGCCATCCTCCCAAAAGAACAATAACACGGCCTGTAAGATTCACAAAGATAGAAAATATATGAATTTTCCAGTACTAAGTTTCCTGAAAAATACCAGCTTTCCTAAACAGACAGCTGAATACACACACAAAAAGCATAAATGTCTTAAAAAGTAAAAACAATAACCAAAAAACCCACAAGAATGAAGTCTACCCAGAAAAACTGGTTAGATGGGACTTGGGACTTTGGGAGAATGATATAAATTATGTATAATGTCCTTAGTTGCTGGGAGGCTACTTGAGAAAATGTTGTTAGTGGAGATTTGGAATGAAGTCATGTTTCTGACTGAATAAGATAACTTCACAAGGATAATACTGTTGGAGGTTCTGTTTGAATGTTAGAGAGACATAGTGTCTACATCTGACTAACCACCAATGGATTCTGATTCTACAAATGAGACTGGTCTGCGGTAAAAACAAACTCAGGCAATGGCAAAAACAAAACAAAAACCTCAAGACAAACTGATACACTCAAGGCAGTGTATTTCAAAACTGGGCTAGAATTTTCTAGGTAATCCTGGCATTCCTGAAGGCAGACAGAGGGTTAAGGAACACTGGAGAATGGAAAGAACTGATGAAACAAGTGTTCCTCTTTCTATAGGTCTTTAACAACATCATAGTCGTTATCACTGAACAGGACACAATTTCGCAATTCCAGCTATTTGGGGAGACTGACGTTCGTCAATAAAGCTCTACTGCTCCTTCCAGAATCCTGTGAAATAGGCCTAATGTCAAATATTCCAAAATAGAACACAGCCTAGAGATTGCAGCATTTTACTGGGACAAAAATCCTTTATTAGACTCTAAGTCTGAATTTCTAATCACCACACCTACAGAAATTATTGATGTCATTTGGTATAAGAAGAAGCACATTGTGGTAGACAGTAAATTCTACCATTTATTTGAGGAGCTTCCCGTTTGGCTCAATGATAAAGAATCTGTCTGCAAATGCAGGACCTGCAGGAGATGTGGGTTTGATCCCTGGGTCTGAAAGATCCCCCTGAGGAGGAAATGACTACGCACTCCAGTATTCTTGCCTGGAAAATCCCATAGACAGAGGTGCCTAGCAGGCCACAGTCCATGGGGTCGCAAAGAGTTGGACATGACTAAAATGACTTGGCATGCACATACACATTCGCTATGTAATCTTAGGTCCATTACTTAACCTCTCTGGGACACTGTTTCCTCATCAGCAATATGAGGTTAATGCCTTCCCCTCATCTGGTTTATAAAATAAAAAGGTGTTTATAAATAAAAGCTCAAGACAACTTCCAGTACACAGTATAACTCTGCACATGCTAGATTCATCCCCATTTCCTAATAAAAACAGAAAGTTAAGAAGACTGTTGATTATTTGTATAACAATTTCTTCAAAGCACATTTACTTCTGGGTGGCATTAAAAATTGTAAAGATTATTTGTATTTACAGACATACAGAAGAGTTTACAATATATTTGCATATAGAAAAAAGAATCGAGTACCTCCTCTGTGTATTACTATCTGCCAGGTACTGAAGATTTTATAGCAACTTAAAATTTTTCGTCCTTGCGAGGGCAGGCTAATATAGACAGTAAGGTATTAGAGTTGTGGAAGGTGAGGTTTAGAGAATTGCAGAGCAGTCTGCCCAAGGGCATACAGCTAGAAAGCTGTGGAGAGATCTGAGCTCAGGCAGACACCAGGGTCCATGTTTAACCAAGTTGCTTTCAAATGTATGTAAATAAAAAGCAAAAAAAGTCACCTAAACTACTCTCTCTCTCTCTCCAGTTGACCCTTGAACAATAATGGGGTGAAGGGTAACAACCCTCCAGGTAGTTGAAAATCTGAGTATAACTCACAGTCTTCTGCAGCTAAGGTTCAAACAACTGTGGGTTGTGTAGTACTGTAGTATTTACTATTAAAAAAACCCACAATAAGTGGACTTGTGCAGTTCAGACCCATGTTGTT